AAAAAAAAAAAAAAAACTCCGGAAAAAGATTTCCGTTTTCCTGATGTTTGTTCTTTGTGCTTTACTGGTAATTTGTGCTGTCTTGTTTCAATTTTTTTTCACACCCGGTTTGCTTTCATGGTGTTGTTTATTCCTCTTTTTTAGTTATTTGTTGTCTGTTAAATTCTTCCCAATATTGTAAGTGGAAGTGTTTTAGAATTTCAAGCATGCAAGATAGCTGGCAGCTTCTTAAAAGCCTATATCATAAAACCGCCAGGTGGTTAAGCCAGGATTTCTAGTTGAAGAAGAGACATTTTTACCAAATTTTTGAGAAACTTTTTCAGAAATTTGTAAAAGACGGTATGACCGATTGAAGCGTTGGGCTGTTTCTAATCTACTGAAGGGAATTTACTTTTGTTAAAGTGGAGGACTAAAATTTAATTAAGAGGGGAATGGAAGGGTGAAGTAGATGAGGGAGAAGGGACTTGGGGCGACGGAGGAGAATACAGGAGAGAGAAAGAACCATAAAATTTCCTGCAAAACAAGTTCCAGGTTTCCGATTGCGCCAGTGGTCTTGTGCGCTTGTTTGTTTTGTTGCTCTTTTCCCTCCATTTTCTGGACAATAAAGATTCATAAAATTATTTGGTTTTGCAGACTTTTATTATGCAAAAATCGCTGCAGTATGCACTTCTTGATAAATTAGTGCAACATTGCATCGGCCTGCGCGACGAGCCAAACTTCATTTTGCGAATTTTCTTTTGGACATACCAAGGGATTCGTTAATCGTCAGCAAGATCGCGTGAACAACTGATTTAGGTATCCTATGTTAGTGATGTTAGCAGCTGTGTCAGGTCCTTCAATTTTAGGTTGTGCACCTCCACTTATTACTTATCTACTGATATTCACTCATTTCAAAATTATTTTTGGATACCACCCGGAGATTTTTCCCGGAAGCACTATCACGAGTTTTCATCATTTTGTGTAATGGTAGTACGCTAGAAGGACAAAGAAAGAGGCGACATCCGCTGATCATACTCTCTGCTTGTTTTGCTGACAACTAATGGAAGTGTTAGTGAGAGTTCTCGGTCAAAAATTGATAATTCAAATAACTTACGGAAAAGTTTGTATGAGCAACAGACGTGCAGTATGACGACCTGAGATGAGTTCAGATGCTTTATTGATTGATTCCTACCCCTACTCGCAAGGGCTACTCCGTCTGTGTTTGCAGCTAAGGGATGAAACATGGGCAAATACCGGATGCGTAAGCATTAGCGGATCCAGAGGGGAGGGGGCCTTTTGCCTCCCCGAGGGGTATCGGCAACAGCTGTTGTACTGTACAAAAGTCTATTCGGTATCCCCTGTCGCCCTCCACTCTCGCCAGGAGATCGCCTTGGATCCGCCTATTTGCGTAAGATATCGTACAATTTCCAGTTCCAGATCCGGATCAATGGCGTAGCTGTGCTCAGCATCTGGTTGTAGCTCAAAGATATCCTAAAACTCAACATCAGCTTATCCTGGCAGAGAAAGAGAATTTTAGAATTTCTAAGTGCAAAGAATTTGCAATTTTTTTTTTTTTCAAACATTTTGCATTTTTCTAGCCTGTCAAAGCAGAACTGATGTGCTTGAAGTGCGATAACTCCTGATGGCGTTGCTCATAACGAGACTTGTGACCCGAGCGATTTCTGGATTTCGCTGCGGCGGATTAGCAGCAGTGTCATCTGTACGCACAGGCGACAAATTATTGGGTTCGGACTGTTTTCCCTTTTCACATCGCTCGTTTTAAGAGGCGTTTTCAGCATGATTCATGTACAGTCTCCGAAATGGTAAGTGAAAATCCGCGTTGGTTTTTTTGGGACTGCAGGTGCGTGATTTTACGTTGCTCTCCTGTAGCGTTAGACACGTGAAGCAACGTTCGGCTTCGACGATGCGATACGTAAATTCACGTTAGCACAACGACAAACGTGGATGCAGCGAAATCCTTGCATCTGATAAACGTAGCCTTCTCGTGGCGACCAAAAATCCTTCACACTGTTGTTTCCTGCGACAGTTCACGTTAGCTCACTTCGATGATAAACGTTGATTCACGTGGGAGGTAAAAGGATGAGGTGAAAGTAGATGAAAATTCATATACTATTTAGGGCCAGGGAGGAAATATGAACAAAAAGAGTTGAAAGGGTTGTAAAGAATTATTAAAATAGGCAAGAAATGCTTCGGTCCATTAAGTCGTATACATTTCTTACCGTTACCACAGTTGGACCTCGTCAGTACAACGACTGT